GCTGTTCCGATCTGCAGGAAGAGTAGAGACGAAAATATAGTTTCTTTACGTTAGTCCCTTTTATAACGAGTTGTTGCTGTGTAGAAAAGTCAGTTATTTTTGCAATGGACCCTCATGGGAAAGGCATGACCGTGACGCAGTCTAAGTGGTTTACTGTTTCTCCTATATCTCACCGTTAGGAAGTAGATTTGGAAAGATACCCACTTTCCCAATTTGATATGAGTCGTTTTGTAGGTAGGGGCTGTTAGGTTACTGACCGCTTTGAAGTGAGTTTTAATACGACCCCTTTCCCGGTCTTTATAGAGTGAAATATAGAAAAAAATATTTTAAAACCTTAACTTTAAGAAGTGTTGCAACGATTTTCACTTTTCCTGTATAGTATTTAAACGACTTGCGGTTAAGCTTTCTTAAGTCATGTGATAATAACTGCGTGATTGCCTGAAGTCTCCAGGTAGCAGTGCCAACCGTAATCATTCACTATTCGATGCGGGATAAGCGTTGGAAAAACATGGCAAGTGAGCCACTTGACGGAAACATTCTCATTGAAATACGTTATCGAGCTTCAAACAACAGAAGGCCAGTGTTTTCAGCCACTGCAATCTCCCGGCTTCAAAATGGTTCCTTGCCGTGACTTACGTCGTAATGACCGGTGTTGCATAACTCAAAAATTGCGTAACGAACTGTACGTGACCTCCCTCGTGAGAAATTTGATATGTAACCTGTCACTTGGCCCTCGTCAAGTTTACTGATAGTCATGAGTTACACGTGCAAACTGATTGTCAACTTTCCTCGAGCTTTCACATCTTACACATTTTTATTGATGATAGTACACATATTTCCACTCTTGAGCGATGGGTTTAGACTTGAGACAAAAACGAACTTGAATTAAAACACACTAACAATAACCTTCATTTGGTGTAACAATTTGTTCGGATATTTGATTTGTCCGTGGATTTTCTGAGATTGAAGCTCGAAGAAAATCGTGAGCTTCGAGGAAACTATCATGTTTAAGGACAAACGGTAAAAGCACATTTTCGAGCCAAATATAGGTTGCTGTGTTTAATATCCTTCAAATAAATATGTAATATTTTTTTAATCGCGTGAAAAAAATCCATTACTGACAGTTTGCCTTGAAAACCTGTAGGAACAAACAAGCTTGTCTCTTTCTTGTTACGAAGGCAGAAACCTCCTCAGGTAATAAAAAGACTTCGATCGCATTGGATGCAAGGACTGAAAATTAGGGAATGTAATTTATGGAATTTTACTGAGAAGTTCCTAAGTCCAAGTAAGGTGTCCTATTCTGTCACATGACGTGTTCGAACCAGTCGCGTGCTAATCGATTTCTGGTGTTGAGTCCATCTATGCTCGCGAGCACGCGAGGATTGGTTTGATCAACTGGGGGAAATATGTTGACACTCTCAAAGTGAAATTACTTATTTTCAAACCTTTCGTAAATGGCGACGTTTTAACTTCTCTATTGCGAGAAATTACCTAGCCTGGCCCAAAAAGTTCCTGCTTTAAGGCGGACGATTGAAAAAAAAAAATAATACCTCAACCTAAAGATCTTATAAAAGATTGAAAGTCATGATAGGCTGAAAACAATCACGCACATCTTTGAAATTTCTTTGAGCTGATTCTCTTCCGCGCACCAATAACTGAGCGTACCACCGCTAACGGAAACTACCGTGCAATGGAAATCTAGTGCCGCACATTTCTATAGGAAAGTTGGCGTGCAAGTTCGAATGAAAAGTTACACCGCATTTTGCATTACGTAATAAGTGACCGTGAAATAAAATGTTTACAATATTAAAATATAAATTCTCGTCTTAAACTTTAAAAGCATTCACTCACACCCTTTTTAGCAAAATATTTGTCAATATATTATCGGTTCAATGGGTAATGGAAACCGTTTTCACTTTTTCTCGGAAACATTCACCCATTATATTGGTAGGTCTAATGCACCAAAGTAAGACATAACTGAACTGTTACTAGAAACCTTGAAATGGCTTTCTTACGGAAAACAAAACGCAAATCACGCACGAGTGTTCCAAGAAACCTGATATGCCATTAATAAGACACGGGAAGAAGAACATTTCTCTGTTCCCTCCCGTGCCCCTTCCCACTTGACCACCCTTGACCCTGGTCAGGAGAAAGATAACCTCACTCACCCCCCTGTAATGTCTGAAGCAATCCTCGTGGGAGCGGGGCTGGCGCAGTGGTGAGAGCACTCCGCCTCCCACCACTGTGGCCTGGGCTCGATTCCCGGACCTGGCGTCACATGTGGGTTGAGTTTGTTGTTGGTTCTCGTCCTTGCTCCGGGGGTTTTTCTCTGGGTCCTCCGGTTTTCCTCCCTCCGCAAAAACCAACATTCCAGATTCCAATTCGAGATCGATCTGGAACAGTGGACAAAGAAGAGCTACCCAGTGAAATGTCTATTGCTAAATTATTTATTATTTATTTATTATTTAATATACCCTAAAGTAGTAGTAGAAATAAGGCCTGAAAAAAATTTCAGGCCCGTACGGGATTTAAAACCACTGACCTCTGCAATACCGGTGCAGTGCTCTACCAACTGAGCTAACAAGCCAACTAGCAACTGGGAGCTGGTCATTATGTTGGATAAAATTTATAGTGAAATGTTCAGCAGGCAACCGTGGACGATACTCCTACTGTTGTACGTTGGATCAGCGATGATCTGATCG